AGTTTTATTTGAAAGAACCATTTCCGTCGATTTTCTAATTTTTAAGTGCCCGGTGACTTTTGATATCCCACTGTACAAGTGGTAGTGAATATCAGATTAACCTTACAAAGTCCGCCATCAAAGAAAATCCTGAATTACTTAGAAGCAACGTGAAAAAGGTAATAGGTATAATTGTTGGGCTGTTAAAGGATCGTGTTAGTGTAGATAGTTCTCCAGCTAGTAAGAGGGCTAGAATCAAAAAAATTATAAAAAAATAATATGTATCCTGAACGTAGTCCCAAACTATGTATTTATTTTTTGCATGTACTAGTAGCGTTGCTACTGCGGGAGATAACCTAACTATTTTAATAAAGTATTTTACGCAATTGAGGCAAGGAAATAATAGAAAGCTTTCATCCCGATCGAGGGATTTTTTCTTGGCAAAAGTGATCGGCGTGAACAATTGTTCACGCGCACGTGCGTGATTTTTGATCGTGAAGATTCTTCACGGTTACACCTATGATGAAATATGACTGATAGTGTTCGATGAAACTCGTAGTTAGCAATATTAGCGTTTAGCTGTAGAAATTTTCGGAAATGTGAGAGATCAAAGAAATAATATGACGCAGGGAATGGTCTAGGATTCGCGTACTTCCTCCCTTAAAAGCATGTCATATATTCTATCTGATTTAGAGACTTGTTGATAATGCGTTAAAATTTTTGCAATGCAAACTCAATAAACCGTTTTTATTATTTAATGATATGGTATTACTAACTACTATATTTGCATAAATAATCAGCATAATTTTTTTATATTACCAGCCTCTCTGGGTTGATTTTTCTTCCTTTTGTCAAGCATTATTTACTAACTGTATACTACTTTGATGAAACTACTAATACGATAGAATATTCTCAAGCTCAACGTTGATACTCTTAAATGTCGTAACTATCGATGTGTACTGTGGATTAATTTCAATCATCCTTCCCTTTAACATTTTCTCGTTAGCTTCAACAAAATAATCCACATCATTTTCGCGTGTAATCCAAATGAATATTACTTCCACTTTCAAGTCACCTAACATCTTTGATTTTAATCCTGGCCAAATCCCAGAGAAAAAAGATGCTTCGGAATCTGAATGCGTTTCTTTATCAAAGGTAATTTGAATCGGAACAATATACAATGTGTCTTTATCAACTTTTTCTTTTTTGTTCTGCAGTTTGTGAAGGGTTATTAATCCATCGATTGACTTTTGGTTCCAGCGACGTGGTAAATAAAATGTGCATGGTCCTTCATTCATAGAAAAATTGATTTCTTGTATACTGGTAAAAAATTTGTAATTATCAGGCTTAAAATTTATCACATTTGCTATAAATCCATTCTTAACAATACTTGAAAGGCATGCTTTCTCCACCATGAATCCCATTACCGAAGGATTATTCTTAAACTCCTTTATACATTGGATCCAACTTGGATTTGTAAATACTTCTAACCTACCCTTCTCAAATAGATAATCAGCCATGCAATCACGTACAAATCCAGACGAACAGTGACAGCATTTATTATTATCAATATAGAAGAAGCGATGGTCATAATCGTCAGTTCCATAGCCAAAAGGAGTATAACCACTTGTCAAGCACAATGACATTAATTTGACGTGACTACGTAAATATAAAAGTCAGTTCTCGTATAACTTATTGGTCGAAAAGTAAACTAACAATACATACAGATCCCATCTTTCGTCTCTTGATATAATCTCTGAAAAGTTCGTCATTGGCTCTTGTATCTTATCTGCAAGTAGTTGATTTAAGCAATCCAATGTATCATCAAAATCTTTCTTGGAGTCTAGAATAAAGCTCAAAAAGAGTGGATTTCGTCCGGTGATATATTCGATTTGCTTCTTTTGCTCGTCATCCATTGATGGCAGATTGGAAATATTTTTAATCCACCATTGCAATATCTCATCCTAAAAAATATTACGTTAATACGCAAAATATTCAAGCATAGAGCATTTATTTAGATTTACCTCATCAAATCCTCCATAAAGTTCAATCTTTTTCTCGTTAGCTTGTTTTAGTGCAAGACGTAGTGCCGATGTGTTGTTTGCTGATGAACTCTTAATATAATAATGTTTTGTGGTTATTTGATTGAGGAATGCTATAGTTTGTCGCTTAATTGTTTCATCAATTTCAGTATTGTTATGACTATCTAAAGCATTCATCTGATCTACAACAATGTACAGCAGTTCTGATTCTTCCTTACAGAACTTTACTATTTCATCAAGCGTTTCACAGGTATATATTTTGTTAATTTTGTCACTATTGTTTTCATAGGCGAGATATAAGGCAGATTTAACGTAATCTTTTGTGTCCCTAGCTAATTCACGGCAATCGGGAAGGTACACTACGCGCTTTCCAGTTCTAAAAAGAAAACATGCTATCGTTGCAAGGATATATGACTTCCCATATCCCATAGTGCCATAAATGAAGCAATCCATAAAACCACACCCACGTTTAAGTTCGTCAATAGTGTTTAGAACTTTGACAAATGCCTTTCTTCCCATGTACATAAACTGATCATCATCATTAATAGAGAATCTCTCTACTGGTTTTCGTTCGCCAAGGAATGGAAATGGCAATGAAAGGAACTTTTTAGGGTTTGAGTAATCTTCGGGATTCTCTGGAAGTTTCTTTATATCCTCCATGATTTTTTTAGCACGAGCAAGAATTGCCTCCGGAACTAAGAAATAATTATTTGTTAAAATATTGATGTTTTAGTTTTTGCCAGAAATTATAAACGCACCTGATGGTTTCACTTTTTTTCGGTGTCGGTCTTCATTACCATCATCCAAATCCCATATTCTCTTCCCTAATCGAAATAAAAAAATTATAGGACGTGAGATAACGCGAATTTCTTGTTCGAGAGGTAAACCATTGGGAGACACTTACCAGTGGTGGCGGGCGGTGGTGATGGTTGGACAATTACGTGGATCGAGTGTCGTGTTTCATCAAAGTGTTCTAAATGGACTGAAATTGGGTCTCTTGAAAACATCTCCTTTCCTTCGAGTTCTTGTTCAACGTTAATTGTACGTGTCGTGTCATCAAGCATTTGCAACTTAACATTGTCTTTGTCGAAAGGGATATCGACTTTCCATAATATGAGGTTGCTTTCGTCAACATTATGTTTAGAAAAGGTGTTCTTCTTCTTATCATAGATAGCATGCCTAAGTTTCATAACGAGTTCTGAGGAATCGAACTCGACAAAATCAAGTGTCCTTTTAACGGGAACTTCACCTAGAACAAAATAATATGCCATGGTATATCTGCAATCGCAAAAATCGAGAGTTAAAAACGAGGGTCAAAAGAGTAAATTTTCAGTATAATACAAGTAAAAGACCTTATGGATACAACGTTAGATCTAGCAGGTAGGGAATTTTCCTCAAATTTAGTTTGTACCCGGAACGGCGAAAGTACTCGAGATAGCGAAGAATAGTTCGACATCTTGATTATTTATCATATATATATATGTTTCCATAAACGGTTGTTGACTAATTACTACGAACTATGAGTCAAGGATCAAATACAAAATTACGAAAAAAAATATATCAATATACGTAGGGTTGTTAACGATCCGATCCATCCGATCTCGATCCGGTCTTTATCGATGGATCATCTTCAATGACGATCTTATAGACCGATCTTTTAGACCGGTCTTATAACCCGATCTTAATAGCATTACAAAAAAAAAGTATCAAAAGCCGAATTTATTGAATTTAT